AAACTTTCTGTGGGAATTCTTTTAATTTTGTTGAAAACGTTCAACTTTTCCAATTGAAAATTGAAGAAAAAAAATTCTGGTCATTTTGACCCAAATCAGAATATTTTGTTCTGTTGAATTGACCCAAAATGTTTAATTTCAAAACAGTTCAACAAAATATTAAAATAGCATTTCCCTGTCAGTCCATTGCCTCATGGGAGTTGTAGTTTGGGCCTCCATTCTCACCTCTGGGCCGGGCTCCCTGGAGGACTACATGTCCCATAAAGCAATACAGGCTCCCCTCTTACCAAGATGTGTGGTGCATCATGGGAGTCACATGACTCTCAGTACATTATGGGAGAGGGAGCCCGGCCCAACCCATAGGCATCCAGCTCCCAATTACAGCTTCGGTGAGTAAATGTGCCTCAATGGGAAAATGCAGATTAATATTGAACTGATTTGAAACAGAGTTTCAGTTTAACAAACTGAAATGAATCATTGCCATTCGGGAATGCCAAATGTTTTCAGTCAACAGTGCTGAAACTAAATCCTTCTACGCTTCCAAACTGAAATATTCCAAGATTTCCATTCTGCAAAATAACTGTGAAATTTTGGCTTTTTATCTTGATGTGGGATGGAAAATGAAAATGAATGTTGAAATATTGTAGCTTCCCAGCGAATGGAAACTCCCAGTTTCACTCAATCTGTAGATAGGTGGAGGAACATGTATGTGGATAGAGAGGCGTGCATGGGGATGGATAGATAATATCGATCTGCATGAAATATCTCATCAGACTCAGAAATCAATCTCACTTTGAAGAACTCAGCTCCATCAGTCTCCTAACTTCTCTCTTTCTTTCTGTGTTTCTAGATGCACGCACCACCAGATCCCAGGCGATCCAGCTGACTGGGATGGTGGGAGGGTCGGTCGTTTTCCCTTTCAAAGTTCCCCCGTGGGTACCCGTGGAGACGATCGTCTGGAATTCGGTCACAACCCTTGCCACGTTTACCCCCAGGAAAGGGAAACCAGCCGCAGTTAAAGTGCTGGATAAACGCTACATAGGGCGGTTGAGGGTCTTGGACCATACCTATTCTCTGGTGATTAGCAACCTGAGCGTGCTGGACAGGGGCATATACAGAGCGCAGATAAACACGGAGTTCACCACCACCGTGACGGAATACCTGCTGCGCGTATACAGTGAGTGTGGGGCTGGGCTGCTGGGGGGTCGTTTCCACCTGCTGACGGTTGAGCTATTGGTCCATCTCTGGAAATCAGACCAGAGCAAGGGAGAGGAAAATCAAACTCCCGTCTCTTTTAAATTCAAATTGTGTCTGTTTCAAGAGCTTTCCTTAAACAAAGACCCCTCAGGCCAGTTTCCTCCAAGGGTCAACAGGGAGCTAGTCAGCTCCTTTGAAGCTCTTTAATGAGTGCATGGCATTCCAGCGCTCAGTTTTAATGAGGGGCGCATGCTAATTTCTCGTCTTCTGCAGCTCAAGTGTGGATATAACTGCCCTGTGGGTAGGTGTTTATTTCCACATAAATATATATATTTTAACAAGATTCCCCATAAAAATATTTGTACATAACATCTAGCCCCTTAGACATGTCCATGTGTAACGCTTGTCATCTTGAAAGAGCTTGACAAATTACGGGTTTACCCCTCCTATTGAAATCAAGGGCAAAAATCCCATGACAGCAGGATCACCAATGCCCACTTGGGGCGTGGTTGCATGCTGCATATGTGGGTCTCCACTGCGTGGACCTTTGAATCTCAGGGCAAACGTTCCTGGCCATGGGGCGGCTGGGTGAAAAATTTCTGTGCAAACTGTTTTTTGAGGGAAAACTGGGTGGTTGAATAAATGGATTTTATTTGCCTAAAGTATCTGATGGAAAACTCACCACCCAAAAACCGAACAGTTTTTGGTTTTCACCTGAAAACAAAAGTATTTTGATTCGGCTGTCCTGCCATGGTGCCTCATGGGAGCTGTAGTTTGATGGCCTCACTGCCTTGTTCTCCTCCACAGGCTAGTCTCTCTGGCCAGACTCTGTCTCCCATGATGCACTACCAACTTACACGCCCTCCCGTCACTGAGGTGAGACCATGATGCATCATGGGAAATGTTGTCTGACTAGGAAGCCTGACCTGTAGAGAAGAATGGGGACAGGGGGCACCTGAACTACAACTCCCATGAGGCACCACAACTGTATTTCAGAATTGAAATATTTCAGTTTTTAATTTTTATCAAAAACTTAGAATATTCCATGTAGAAACCCCCTCCCACATTTTCTGATCAGCCCAATGTGTGACCTCCATTAACAAAGAGTAATTCACTGTCTCCTGTTAGTGGCTATATCCTAGTCCTTTAGTTCATGTAGCTTAGGCTTTTAGATGCCGAAGGATGGGTTCAGTCCTGCAGAGGACCCCAGCCAGAGGTGTTCTTCCGGAATAATCCTGCGTCTATGCTATGGAAAGAGATGAGAGGGCTGGAAACCTGGGATTGCACAGAGGGGCTCAAAGCTACGTGCAGGCAGCGCAGGGAATTCTCACTGCTCCCTTTCCCATTTCGTATTCCCTCCGACACGCAGAGAAAATCCCGGTCCCAGATGTTGCCGTTGCCATCCTGAATGGAACCTGCAACCTCCTGCTAAACTGCTCTGTCGCCGAGGGAGCGGAAAGCGCCACCTTCGTCTGGACGTACACCCGCAGGAGGGTCATCCAGATCAAGGAAGGACCCACCCTGCGCATCTTGAGCCGGCCAAGAGCTAAAGACATGGTGCACACCTGCCTGGCGAGGAACCCCGTCAGCCAGAGCTCAAAAACGATCTCCATAGAAGACTACTGTGGTAACTTCCTATCGAAGCATCTCTAGGATCAACCCGAAAGGCATGGGGTCCTGGGGTCAGCGTGGCCATGGCAGAGCTGCGTGGGTTACGATCCCGCTGCATGAAATTCACCTCTGTGCAGAGAGCCCGCCGCGTGCCTTGGCCCCACTTCATCCTAGATGCAGGCCCCTATCCTTATAGGGCTGTGGCCCAAGCCTTTCAAACCCTGACCTGTGGGCATGGGCCAGGTCTTCCTTACAAAGTTTTGTTGGCACAGAGGTGCTGGTCCATGCCCCTGACTGACAGAGCTGGGCCAGCCAAACTCCCCATGTAGGTGCAGCTCTGTCAACAAACGAGTCCTTTTTGCTGATCTAGCTTGTGTCGTTCAGGGAGGAGGCTTAACTATACTGACAAACATCTCCTTGTGCTGCTATAAATTGTCCTCAGTAGGTGGCTCTGCTGGACTAGTTATACCAGTAGAGCTGTCACAGCAAAGCTTTTCTAGTGTAGTCTGTCTAGCCTGGTGAGAGAGACGGTGGTCTGCTTCTCCAGTGCCCTGCCTCTTGCCCCGTCACTTACACCACTGGAGTGTCTGGCCTTTCTCTTTCTCATTTAGTAGCATTTTATATCCCGTTGCGCTGGTGTAAATGCCTGCACCAGGTTGTGAGCTGTTTGGAGCACAGACTGTCGTCTTGTTTGGTGTTTGTACAGCGCCTTGCACCACGGGGTCCTGGGCATTACCGCAAAGCAAAGAACAAGTTATATTCAGAGCAAGAGGGAATGGGGATAGGCAGGAGCGAATAGCCGCTTTCGTAGGCAGAAAATAACCCCAGAGACCTAGAGATACTCACTGCAGAGGCAAATGTTCGTTGTGTGTTTGTCTGTTTCAACAGAAAGTGGCTCACCGGCATCCATTTTCCAAGCGCTGAAGGCAACATGCATCTTCATGTTCTTTGGACTCCTCTTCAGCATGACCAATATTCTAAAATAAGGACCAAACGCTGCCTTCGAATGCAGACTGGAGTGACGGGAATGCATGCAAAGGGAAGATTTGTTGCTGACGAGGATACAGAAGATATAACGCCAACTGCATCCAAATGCCACCAACCCTTGCTGTTAGTTGCCTGAACTTCAGGCCTGCTAACGCGAAGAGCTGCTGCTGCAGAATTCATTACTGTGGCTTTTTAAAAAGCCACTGTAGATTACAAGCAGCAAGAGACGATGCCGAGGCATTTCCCATCTGCAGGCAGAAGGTGATCATCTCCCAACATCTCCTCCTTATGGGCATGAAGCATCACAGCTGAGATCCAGCCAATAGTGTGATGGTTTGCTCATTGTGTTGACTCCTGTTTACCAATAAAAATGCACTTCTCAGTCAGGCCTGAAATTACCGATCTGCTCATAAAGATGTGGGGCTTTTTTCCCAGTTATGCCAAGGCTCTGGGGGTCGCTGTAATTTATGCTCGGAGTGGAGTAAAGGGGCCTTAGTGTAACTGAGAATCTATCCCCCCAAGATCTTCAGCTAATAAAGACCCCGCTGCAAATCAAGGGGCCTGATCCTCCCCCGGCTTGCACCCCAGGGGCTTGATTCACCACTGTACTGTGCCAATGGTTGGTGACGGCTGTGATGTGGTGCAATCTGGTGGGCGGGAAACCCCTCCCCGTTTAACTGCCAGCTTCCTCTCTCGCTCATATCTGCATTTGAGTTCTCAGCGCACTTATCCGGCCGGGAGGGGGAAGAAAACCAGTTAGATGGGGGCAGTGGTGTTGCCAATCCCCCACATTCAGAAATCATGAGACAGGCCACCCAGAACTCCTGCTTTGCGAATCACAAGGGTTTGTTGTTGTTTTTTAATACTCAGTGTTGAGGGTTTTTTTAGTTTGCCTTCTGTGTTTTTCAGCTTTAGGGCTCTCGCTTTCAAGCCTTCCTCTGCCACTACGGGGGGCTAGATCCTTTTATTTTAAATGAAAGCCGAGATTCTCAGGAAACCACCTTCATCCAGGAGCTGGGCTTGCAGAAAACAGGACAAACACTGGCGGCAGCTTCCCTACTGCCCAAATTGTTAATGGGGGGGAGTGGAGGAAGGACCTTCCTAAGTGCAGAAGAAGGGGAATCCTTTAGCTTGGCTTTTACACTCTGGACTGCCTCATGGAGCCACGGGAAACTTTCTTACCCGGCCTTCTCAGAAGCCTAGCTTGGGCTCTAGGGGACAATGAAGTTTCACCCTGGGGCATGTGGCTTCCTGGGTCTCAACTCGAGTCGCCCGTCCCCACTCCTGGAGGTACAGAGTGAAAAGAACAGCAGCATGGAACGGCTAAACGCTGAGGGTACATCCATACAGCCAAAGCTGTGCCCGGGTTAGCCTGAACCAGCTAGCGCGGGTTACGATAGCAGTGAAGACAGAGCAGGGTGGGCTTCAGAGCAGGTCAGGAAGCAGTGTATGTGCCCAGGATCCGTGCTGGGCTGGCACTACCCATGCCAAAGCCGGCGCTGTGCTCGCTTCACAGCTATTGTGCCCTGCGATGGCTGGATTCAAATTCATCACAATGGCAAGGTCCATGGTGGACTTCATACAGTCTCTGCCCCGTCTTCCTTTAGAGAGTCAAAACGGCATAAAAACCTCATCCCCTCATGCTGTCACGGTGCCGTTACGATGATTAATCATCTCTGCGGCGGTAACACATCGGCACCAAGACCCCAATGTGTCAGGTGCTGTACGAACACAGAACAAATAGCCAGTCCATGCCCCCAAGTGCTTACGACGACGTGTTAGGGACAAAAGGCGGGCAAGGTCCTATCTTTGATTGGATCAACTTCGGTGGTGCAAGGTGCAAGCTCTCAAGTGACACACAGCTCTTCTCGGGTCTGGGAAAGGTGCTCGGAGTATCACCGCTAACTACACGGTGGCACAGATTGTTTAGTGTCAGGAGTTAACATGTTGCAAGAGACTCTTCGAGGTGAAATGGGCCATTAACCCCTCTGCAGCCACAGGACAAAGGGGGGTTAGTGGGCTACAGATTGTTGTCAGAAGCCATAACTCCAGTGTCTTTTTAGTGTCTAGTGAAGTTATGAATTTAAGCTCCCAGGGCCCAACAGAGCTACAGCAACATCGCACACAGCAGCTACGCTAGTTTGCAGGCCCAGGAGTCGATGTCAAGGTCCAGTAACATCCTGCAAGCGAATGACTGGCAAAATTGGATCAGTCCCATAAATCTAAGGAGGAGTTGAGAACATGTAATTATACCCAGGGGCGGCTCCAGGCAAGCGCATGCCTGGGGCGGCAAGCCCGGGGTGCAGCCTGCCGGTCGCTGTGAGGGCAGCAGGCAGGCGGCTTTGGGCGACATGCTTGCGGGAGGTCCGCCGGTCCCGTGGCTTCAGCGGCAATTCAGGGGCGGGTACGCCAATGGCGTGGCACCGGCGAACCACCCACAGGCATGCCACCGAAATCCGCCTGCCTGCCGTGCTCGGGGCGGCAAAAAACATAGAGCCGCCCCTGCTTATACCCCCACCACCCGACTCTCACGTGACCCCTCTGTAGAAGAAAAGTGCCACCGCTTACAATACAGGGTTTACTGAGGGTCAGCCTGGCCGCTGATATAAACCAGTGTGACTCCACCGACTTCAGTGGAGCAGTGCTAGCTTACTCCTGGCATGGGGGTTTCCAGGATCGAGAGTCACAGAGTTTCTTCCGCTGACTTTCTGAGTTTCTTTAGACTGACCCCCTACTTGGTAAGGCAACTCCCCTCTGTTACATATACATATGTACCTGCTACTGTATATGTACCTGCTACTGTATTTTCCACTCCGTGCCTCGGATGAAGTGGGTTCTAGCCCACGAAAGCTTATGCCCAAATACATTAGTTAGTCTCTACAGGGCCACAAGGACTTCTCGTTGTTTTTTCTTCAGCTGCAGTTCCCCTCCCTGCTAGCTCCACGGCTAAAATTCTCCTCTGAGGCACAGCTGGGCCAGCCGGGGTAAGCAGCCGCGCCTGACAAATGCAGCCTGCCCGTTGCGTCACATCCGAGTTTGTTGTTGTTTCCTTCTCAGTCAGATCCGTGGCTGGGGAATGTCTTTTTATAAATAGCTTTCCGTGGCAATAACTGGATTCCCTGAAGCGTGGGCTGGGCTACAGTTCGTTCTGGGAACTTCATCCTTTCCACGAGCTTGGTTTGCACTTTAGCCATTTGCTCTGACATCTCCGCACAAAGAGAAAGCTTTGCTACCCCGGTGCTTCAGAGGAAGGTGCAAGGTACCCCCAAGTGGACCGTTATGGAATAGCTTGACCCAAGCGAACATTCTTTCCTAATCTCTAGCATTAGAGGTAAGTTTACGCCCTGAAGCATGAGGGTATATATCCTTTCTAAAAGATTATCCAGTCTAATGTAACGGTGGATATTCTCTTTATCCATATACATGTCTAATCTAGTTATTAATCCTGTTAAACTCTTGGTCGCAATATCTTGTGGCAAGGAGTTCCACAGGTGAACTATGCATTGCATCAAAAAGCATTTCCTTTCATCAGCTTTAAGTGAGTTGCCTTTCAGTTTAATGGAACATCCCTTCTCCTGGTAGTGTGACAGAGAGTGAAAGTTCCCAATGTCTCCCAGCCCATGTACTGTGTCGGTGTTTTGCCAGCTGTGAGTTGCACGTGAGCCTCAACACCAAAGGCAGAAGCTGCATTTTCTATCTTTGCTGTTCTTTCCCCCTCCCACATTTGTGTGCGGTCGTCTTGTTTTGCCTTCTAGGAAATGGGATCAGCCTTTAACACCACCAGGAACAACGACAGCTCCAGCTCATCTCAACTAACTTCTCTTTTTCCCCCAAAGGATGGTTAGCAGCAGCTTTAATACCATCAGAGAATGTCAACGCAGGTTTTCCTTCTAAAAATGAAACAGGGAATGGGAACAAGAAATGTTGCTAAAATAAAAACTGTACTTAACATTTTAAATTTCAGATTCCTCCACTCTTTTTCTTTCTTGCCCCATCTTTAATAAAGCGTTAAAAGGAGGTTTAATGGGGTGCTTGCCATGGTACAAAGCAAGCTGAGATCTCTCTATACCAAACCCCAAACCTTGTTTAATGCTGGATAGTTTCAGGGTCATGTTAACACCTTTGACACTTTGGGCCCATTTGGTCCACCTAATCAATACAACATCCCTGTTCTATGTTTGTACCGTACCTGGTGCTATGGGTCTTGGTCCATTAGTGGGGTGCCTACGCACTGTATAATTATAATTAAGGCCCCACTTGAATTGCGGGATGATTGTCAAATAATCGCGGCTGAATTGTGGACAAGACGTGGAAAAGTAACAACGGCCCTTTATTTATTGCAGTCGTTTGGAAAAGCCGGAGAAGACCTATTGGTTTAAGAAATATTTGCTGGGACAATATAAACACTCAAGTATTATCTTAGGCCTGCTAATTTTTTTGATAACCAGACATTTTGCTGCAACTGATTACAGCCGTTAACTCCCAGGGTTGACAGCAGGAGTCTGGGTGGCTGGTGGCCGGGGGCTCCCTCTATCAGCTGCCCGGCTGACAAAATTGCAGCAGAAGCCTAATATTGGGGGGACTCGCAATTTCCACAATATCGCAAATGACATAGGGCCTTAATTTTACTATTTAGTAGAGGTGTCCATGAGCGGTTCCAATTACTCCTTCTAAGGCGGGTTGCCTTTAACTCGTCACCACCACATTTCATCGACCATCACGCTGCCCATTGGACTACAGATGGGGAATACAGGTGCAGTTGCCCTGAACTGTGACAGCTGCTGATGCGTGAGGTCCCTACCCTGGCAGGAAATTGATTAGATCAAATATGCCCAGATTATGGTAGCATGTGAAAGACGTGGTTTCAATTCCCGCTTTGCTACAGACACTCTGCATGACCTTGGGCAAGTCACTTACCCACTGGGCCTCAGTTCTCGGCCTGTAAAATGGAGCTAATAGCAGGGCCCTGCTTCACACAGGCACTGTGAGGCTATTGGCAGGTAAAACTAGCGTAGTGCTCAGAGAATATACAGATGGTCTCGGGCTGGTGCGCCCTTTACACAGCTGCCACTAAGTGAATTCCTGCAGGCTGGCTTTTCACAGGTTGGTCCTGCGTGGGCTTAAGCAAAGCTGAGGGCTCAGTCCTGGCTTGTGTGGCAATAGGAGAAGGAAAGGCCGCAGCATCTCACCTAGCAAGAAGGCACAATGTCCTCGTGGGTCCTGACCAGACTATAATGTAAACCCTTAACTCTGACCTCTATTTGGGGCTCACCTTAAAGCTCCTGGTTTTAAGAACTTGCAAGAAAATCTGAGTTTTCATTTCTTTAAAAGTAAGTTTCTAGCCTTGTGGTTGCAGAGAAAAGCTTGAAAACATGAA